AAAATGACATAATATTATCAATAATACAGTCACTATTAATTTAATTACGCAATTTGCAAAAGAACACCGTAAGAATTTTCTTCTCGAATTCATAGAATTTGTTTTTAGCTGATTAGAAATCAGCGGTATAGAAATAAGCCACAAATATGTGAATTATGAGTTTGTACTTCTTTAATTAGCTAAACAGATCACTTTTTTATTAGTATTAATAAGGTGCAAAGGTTAGTTTCTAAGAAATAAGGGGATGTCGCTTTAGGAGACCTATGTCAGTATCGGTGATCTTCCTCTACTTTTTCTCTAATATTTGATAACTTTGTCTGTTAATGTAAAATCCTTCTTTCCGAATATTTTTTATCTTTTATTTTTTAAAACTTTTTAATCATATTGATTTAAATGATATAATCAATAGTAAATTTGAATAGATCAACAGGGTTTTAAATGCGTAAAATTTTTTAAATCTAATAAACATTTAACTAATTTGCGCAAATGTGGAGTGTCTTAATACCGTACATTTGTCTATAATTGTAAATCGCAAAATCAAGAAATCTTATATGCTATCAGAATAAAATCAAGCATTATGCTCCTCAAAATGTATGGCATTAATTACTTTTTTTTACCAACAATACATGTTTCTATATTCATATCATGTATACAGATCACTTAATAATCAGGTGTGATGAGGCACTTAGCAGGTGCGCAGTTGTGCCTGATAATTAATTAATTCTCAAGGAAAGTGATTTAGAAAGTGAAGTACGTGAAAGTGGCGTCCGTCCGTTTCACTCTGTATTGACATTTGTGTTCGCATCCATTCGCTAATAAGAGGACACTAAATTATTAGTATGAGCTGAAGGATCCATTTGTCTATCTGTGTACTTGTTATACGCATCGAGAACCGATAACATCACCTGCCATTAGTTTCCATTGGTTTCTCGAAGCGGTTGGATAGACCCTGGTGTACCGTTGTTTCCCACTGTACGCGCGGAATCAGCATTCCATTCAATGCGGGTTAACCGCGGCGATTTCTGGATCTCCGGAACACGTGATGATTGAAGTCGACCCAGAAAAGACAAATTTCCAAGTAAACGACCGCGGTTGTCCGCTCGTTCGGAAATCCGCGCGCCGCGGATGAGTCGTGGAGCATACTTTCTCCTTTCCGGGGTTTCCGAGGTCCCTGTTATCCGCGTATGCGTACGATGGGCTGAGTCACGTTTGCATCAACCTTTCTGGCCGATGAACTTCTTTTTAGTTTTCTCCTTCTTTTTCTCTCTCTTTTACTTTCTTTCCTCCCTCAACTCTTGCTCACTTAGGGTTCTCCGATCGTGACGTCGGTCTCGAGCAATTTATGTAAAGCATTCTAAGCATGATTCACGAACTAGTTCGCGCCCTCGTGACCGCCACCGGCGCAGAATGCAGTCGCCGCGAGCACGGGTGCGTCCATCAAGGTGTCCTGTCTGCGATTTTTCGAACTTAAATGTTATATTAATGTGTTACATGTCGAAAAAAATACGTTTTATTCTAACTGTATTTAAGCATAATACAGCTTGCATTCTCACGTCTGTCATTAATGTAAGATAAAAAAAGTCATATAATCTTTTTCCGTTATACGAAGGTATAAAGAGAAGATTCTTTTCTTCGATGTAATTCACGTGTTTTCACCGCACGTCAGTTTCGATAAATTCATATCTGATTGCCGAGAGATTTAATGGGAAGCATGTGACAGCGCCAGGATTTATTTAACGAGTTTCCATTCATGACCTCCTACGCGACCTATCGACGACGATGACTAGATCCATTTTATTTATATATTCTCATGCATTGGAAGACAGCCTTCGAGATGCAAAGAAATTCCAAACATGCTCATATATTTAAAAAATTCAATTCCTTTTTACACACGCATTTTAACCCTTAATACATATGATTATCATTTTTATAAAGGAATAGTTTATTGCTCTTCAGCTCTACAATTTTATACGTATTTTTTAAACATGTTAAAGTATAGATGGGAATTATTTAATATTCTTCGTATATAAGTAATGAAAATCAATTTTCATTCCGATATGTGTAAAGGATCAAAATATCATCGTGTTCTAAGGATTATACATCAACAATAAATAATATAAAAATAGTTTTTCTTTCAAGAGATATGGGAATTAATTTAAAAAAATAAAATAATAATCAAGAGAGAATAATCGAAAAAAATACAATTCTCTCTCTTTCCTTTATATTTTAATTATAATTTCTAAAATAGTTTTTAGGAATTTTAAATTTTAATTGATTCGTAAATAACTGTGTGTATGTTGAATTTTTATAAATAGTAAGACAAAACAAGACTTTGCGCAATAAAGAAAATATTTAGAAATCCTTTCTTAAAAATTAATCAATAGTTTGTCGAAATTTCATTCATAATTGCCATATCATTTTAAAATAATTAGACCACGTCAACAGAGCCAGACAAAAAGAGAAATAGTGACGTAATTAGTAGCGAAGAGGAATGGAAAAGACGCAAAATGCTTGCGCGGTCTTTTTATCATGGTCATCGAGATGGTTAACTCGACATTCCCGATCTTGTTTCATCCTTTTCCTACAATCTAGTTTTCTTTCCGCCCCGGCGTTATATCTTATTGCCTACATCTTCCGCCCCTTGATTCCCATCGCGATGTAAGAAGCACCTTGCACGATGCACCGGATGCAACGTCTGTGGACACGTTCGGTCGACAGAATTCTGGGAATTTTATAATGGACAATAATAAAAGACAAGCTTTATTCATAGACAAGCTTTATTCATAGTGGTCTAGATTAATTTATTAATAAACTCAATCAATTATTTTAATTAATAATTAATTAAGAGAATGTTTAATTTTCTTCTTCCCTCGCCTAGTCTCGCTATCTTGATTCTTTAATCTCTATTTAGAACGTCGCTCAATCGCATTCCGTCGCGGACTATTATTCCGCGACCTTATTTCAGTATCCAATTGTCTTCGCTTTGTAACTTTGCAAAGATGATCGTCATCCAAAGAATTCGTACAGTTCGGACATTAAGAAAGATTCCAGCGAAACAGTTTGCATTGTAAGGAGGAGTGATTGACTTTCTCTTTTCGCTAATAAGAAATTCTTTTATTTCGTTATCGTAGCTAAATCCGGATATCTTCTTTCCGAACAATTTCAGATTCGAGTTCAAAGTTCAAACTGTTCTGTCAGGAAATCCAAGTGCTGATTTTGAAATTGGTCGGAACTTAATACTCTTTTAATGAAATTTCGTCATTCATTTTCACGATATGTCGCTGTTCGGAGAGATTTCTGCCAGAACATAATAATAAATTTGTCTCTCTTCCTCTCTCTAACCTCGTCAGCTGTCCTCTATCCACGCATTTCCCTCCTTCTTCCTGCTGTCTCCCTCCTGCTATTCCTTCCCTTTCCTTCCGCGCTCTCGTACTCCTCCTCTTCGTTCTGAATCGCGTGGCGAGGAGGCCTCGCTGCCCGACTGACCGTCCTCGGCGCCTCTTATACCTTTACTCCGGTCTGCGCGTTCTTCAGGGAACGTACGTGCTCGTTTCACGTTCCACTCGAGAGAGCGCGATACATATAGCCCCCTTTTATAGAGTACGTATACACAAACGGCCAATTGTCAGTGGTGCATCGCGATACCTCGAAGGTAGCTGAGCCGAGCTAAGGGCTCGTTCACCAATAGCCGTCGACAGTTTTCGAGACCGTTCACCGTTCATACGATCGTTTACCTCGACATACAGCCGACAAGTTCGGGACAAGACAGTGATATGGCACAACTGATCAGCGTCAAGCTGTCCAGGTTCGACGGATCCCCCTGGGGTTTCCGTTTGCAAGGCGGCAAGGATTTTGGCACACCGCTCATCGTCCAAAAGGTGAGTCAATCTGGATCGTCTATTTGATCCTCTATTTTATGACGGGACTTTACGTCAGTTGATATTTATTTTCAAGTATTTTATCAATTGTGACGAATACGAGTGATAACGAAGGTCTTCCATAAATCTCTTTTATTACATATTTCTCTTGTTACTAAACTAGCGTTACAATATTCGTAAAATATTAAAAAGAATATTTGATCATTATATTAATATAAAATGTATTATACAAAACGGATTTTAACAAATAATCTACATTTTATGTTATATGTGTATTTCAAATGTTAAATAATATTGCGCAAAATGACGCAGAAATATACATAACATTACGATCGAGATTTAAATGCGATTTAAATGTATTTTATATTTTTCTATGAGTTTCTGCTGACAAATGTGCTTTCTATTCGCAGACCTATTTATGCGTTCTGCCTTTTATCTCAATGATTGCTTATTAATATAACGTTTCTTGAATATCATTGAATCATCATGAAAGAATCGCGAGAGATTTTTTGAGGGATTTTGAAGGAGCGTTTTCAAGAAACCACTTGAGTTGGATCTCAAGTTGACTGAGGCAGAAGCAGTAGTAAAAATATTTCTTGCAGCCGTTTATATATAGCGATGTTTTATATGGCTATTTTCATCTGCGGTTCCTTGTCGTTCGCCTCTACAACGTTTCTCGATAGTCGAATAATTCGACAGTAGAGAGGATCGGCCTCGATATCACAAAATGCCGGCTGTAAAATTAAGAGGTACTATATATATATATATATATATATATAATGCTTCTGTGCATTCACTTCTAGACTTCTTTCTCGTTTGCATCTTTCCTTTGCATGTTGCTCGCAAGATATCAATTGCCACAACTCGAGCGGAATAGAATTTTCATTGAACACGAGGATCGATCAACATTCCCATTTGACAATTGAAATCATCGCGAGTAGTGGCGCTTCCACTATTGCAACGATTAATCTCTTTTAAGACATCGACACATTTTCTATTGGTCAAATATCTATATCAAACATCTATATAATTTATTTTAATTATAATAAAACCTGACAAAATATATTTGTCAGATTTTATTATAATTGAAATAAATTTAATGTATAATCCTGAAATTTAATTGCGATACAATTATGTTATCTTTCGTCATATCTATTGCATTGGAGATTTTTATGAATTTTGTGATGTAAATTTATCCTGTGGCGTGTGAATGAACATTTGTGAATCTCCGGTACGCGGAAGCGGATAACGATAATGAACTCCGAGAGTAAGAGCGCGGACGAAAGTGAAACGCAAACGGGATCCCTCGCGACTCGTCCTCGGAAATGAAATCAGTATCAAAGGCTGAAGTTGACAGGCAGTTGACGGCACGTGTTGATGTTTCGTAACACGAACTCCTCGTTCTCTTCAGTGTGTAATCTAGAATATCAAAATCAATTACAACGGAAATCAGAATGTTGAAATCGCTCGTTGGGCTCTTGTTTTAAGCGACGAAACACGTTTCAAGTACACATAATTCATAAAAAATATTAAAAATCAGAATATTCCTTTACTAATTTGAAATAAAATTTAGAAAACTGCTAAAAATCGGAGCAGTTTATTTATTCATTATCACTCTGTTTATCATTATTCTCTTTTATCTGCCTTATGAATCTCTCATCGTTAACAATCAGCAAAACTCTCGTTTCCAAAAGGAAAGCCGATTCAAAAAGCGAATTTTCCTGCACGAGTTTTTTTGTGGTCCTTCACGACCGTGAGACATGATCGCGGGTGTGTTTTGATATTACGATCTAGAGGAGCCACGTACGCGTTACGTAATGCAGTAGCAAATGCCAAATTATTTCACGCGCATCGGCAGAAATCGTTGCCAACTACGTGCGAAACGCCGGGCTCGCCGTCGCCGTCGCCTCCACCGCCGCGTGTTTTGGCGATGCTTGGCGCTGTAACACGAGAAGCTTTTGGCGAACATGTAGAGACGCGGGTCGCACCGCGGATTCTTTCCCCGAGTAACTTTTTCTGAGCCTTCGAGCAACGTTATACGACCATAAGCGCTATTATTAAGAAATGTTGGCACGCGAGTGCCAATGTCGAGCAGCGGCGACCGTCGCGGATTCAACGACAGCTTTCACGCGCGAACTGTCAGAAATTCGACAACGTTCTCGTGCTACCGTAGTCAATAATTTCCCGCGCGAACGTTTTGTTGACAGGAGTATGTTTATTGTTTACGATATTTCGTCTACTAGCTATATTTTAAAAACTCGGATTGTTGTAGACTCATTTCGCTCCGAAGGCCGTTTGGGTGATATCTAAAATACGTAATTGTTACAAAATACATATGTGATAATCATTAATTAAATAATAATTTAAAAAAGTGTAATTATATTCTTTTACCATCGAGGAAAAAAATAAAAACTCTCCTGCAATACATAAATCTCTAAAACTTTTAGAATGAATTAGGTATCATTCTGAAGAGTAAAATCTTACTCTCAAGGAATGAAAATTAAGTTGCACTTTTTTTCAAGAGTGGCTTAATTTTTACTTTTTAGAGTGAGATTCAAAAGAATTTGAAGAGTATATAACTCTCATACAAATGATAACGTGCTTTGTATTTGATTCTTAAAAGGAAGATATGTATTTTTGTGTTCCGTATGAAATATATCTCGACAGAAAATCGTTATAATTCGAGTCTCATACTGAGAAAAAGGGTTTGGTTAGATTAAATAGTGATTCTCGTGGAAAATGGACGAATCAGAATTTTCTGATTCTTAAATTTACTAGAATTCTAGTTGAGATAACGAGAATTATGATTGATAAAATTAATTCTGATAAAAATAAGAATTCTAGTAGATTTTACTAAAAATATTGTATTAACCAGAATTTCGGTTATCTCAACTAGAATTCTAATAAATTTAACCAGAAAACTCTGATTCGTCCATTTTCAACCATGAGACATTTTTTTCAATGCAAGGACGGCAGATTCCTCGGGTTTCCTGTCGCACGCTCAGACCGTTTCGCGGATCTTAACGCGTTTTGGTAAAAGACGTCATCGCGGTATCGCGCGATCGAGTTCAAGTACCTTGAATTACGAAGTAGAAATCGGATCGGTGATCGTCTCTACGCGAGAGTCTGCACGAGACGCCTTTGACACCGTCAGACTCATATTTCTCGCCTTTCCGAGAAAGCCTGGGGCGGCCGGACGCTCGCCGTATTTGCGGCCTCGTAAAATAAACGAACCACGTGGTGCGCTACGAAGAAGGCCAAGTTCGAAACGCCGATTACGAAAACCATTTAGCGTAGCCGCGATAATTTCCAACCCTTCAATCGCGCGAATAATTGATCATATGCGTTTTCTTCGACCATAAAGAGTGCATTTTCAACGGAGCGTCGACAAGGAAATGCAATGTGGACGTTCGCGAAATATTTGTATACTATCGTCGGCGATTTTGAAATGCATTATTTGCATATTTCCGCGATATCAAATGTTCATGATGAAAATCAGACACGGTTCGATAAGAATTTAATTTTTCATTTCATTGTTACTCGTTTTTATCAATTACGTCAGATTTCTTGCTTGTAGAAAAGTTTAATAACAAAAATTATAAAGTTATGTTAAATAAAGTGATAGCGTCTTTCTCTTTTCCTCAATATTTTAATTAAAAATTGACATATGCACGGATTAAATGTATTATTATGGTATTTATAATTATATCACGTGACTTTTGAATTCCAATGCTATATTATTCGCGAGAGATTCTGTATGATAACTCCGTGATCTTGTTTTGAAAATTGGAAAAAATGCGCCCACGAGGATTAGCTCCGATGAGAAAGAGAAGAAGGGAGAGCACCGTCGTACGTCGCTGGTAATCCGAGGCAAATTATTTGGGCGTTCTATTTCTAGAAGGTGCCTTTGCGAAACCCGCGCGAGCCGGGTCGGGCCTCGCTCGCCACGATGATGGCAGCGATTTCGACGGCGACGTCGTCTTCACGGGACCAACGTTTTCTTTCCGAAACAAATAATGCGGCCGCGTGTATCCGGTCTGCAATCCCATTGAAACGAAATCGAAACGATTTCTGTCGGCCAGCGCGGACAGAAAAATATTTAGACGCGCATTTTTGGAGGCTGCGTAAAAGATGTTAGGGCGCGTTTAACGTGATTTATGAGTAAATATGGACAACGCGAGCACGCGAGCCTCATCGCGGCAATAAATATTTCCACCAGCAGATCGACCAAACTCGTATAAATCGACAAAAATACGTATCTCCTCCTATTTACGAGATAGGAATGGTAAGCAAATATCGACGGATCTCCAGTATAATCTCAGATAGGACGACTTTATATGACTTCATTTCGGACTTTTCTTACGTATTTTTTATATAATGAATACAACAAAATATCAACAATATGATTTTGATATAAAGAGAGCCAATAACATTTTTTATATTCAATGACGTATAAAATACCAATTTTGATTTTAATTAATTATTTATGTATATGTAATATATATGATCAAACTTTTTCATCGTTTTTAATTGCAAGCATTAAATTTTAACGTAATGAGTGTATAGGAGAAAGTTGGGTGATATTGGACAACAGCTGGTATATTACGGATAAAGACTGTTTAAAATTTTAGACACATGGTAGTATTTGTTAAGTAACTGATAAATTCACTTGAGAGTCGAGACTTCTTCATATTGAGAATAGAATATTGTATATTTTATTATTTCGTTGTTGTTTATGCTAGATTATAACTTTCAATCAGTCACATAATTAAATGTAAGTTGTAAGTAGAATTTCGTTTTTAGTTTACCAATAAATAGTATTTATTATTTTATAAATTGTAAGCTTAAAATCTTTCTTATTTAAAAACTGCTTGTTTCATACGTCGTTCTTTCGTTGCACGTCATTCGGATTAGACAATGAGATGGCGGGCAGTATCGGACAGCCTAAGTGGTCGACGAGATTTGGCTACTGACAGCTGTGTTTTATTCTAGAATATGAG